AAATACAGGTTGGAGATCGACCTTCTGACCACGTGGTGCAGGGACAACAACCTCCTGCTGAATGTCAGCAAAACTAAGGAGATTGTTGTTGATTTCCGGAGAGGCCACACCCAACACCTGCCACTGACCATTAACGGTGCTGTGGTGGAAAGAGTGAGAAGCACCAAATTCCTGGGGGTTCACATCAGTGAAGACCTCTCCTGGACCACCAACACTGCATCACTGGCAAAGAGGGCTCAGCGCCGCCTGTACTTCCTGCGGAAACTCAGGCGGGTAGATGCTCCACCAGCCATCATGATCACATTCTACCGAGGCACCATTGAGAGCATCCTCTCCAGCTGTGTTGCTGTGTGGGGCGGAAGCTGTACTGACTACAACAGAAAGGCCCTGCAGCGCATAGTGAACACAGCTGGAAGGATAATTGGTGCCTCACTCCCACTCCCCTCCCTGAAGGATATTTACACCGCCCACCTCACTCGCAAAGCCATCACAATTGTGAGTGATGCAAGCCACCCCGCTCACAATTTGTTTGAGCAACTGCCCTCTGGTAAGAGGTACAGAAGCCTGCGTGCCCGCACCACCAGACTCACCAACAGCTTCATACACCAGGCTGTTAGGATGCTGAACTCTCTTCCCCTTCTCCCCCCAGTTACATAACATCCTTTGGACTTGCGTTGCTGTTGCTGTCCTGTTTGTCCTGAAAACTGACTTTTGCACTATTATTATATTGACTGTATGCATAAATTGCACATTGCACACTGGAACAACAGACTTTTTGCACTATTTGCACTTTTGCACTATTATATTGACTGTAGGCATACAGTATATTGTCTGTACACCGTGGGATGGAGGAAACGTAATTTCGATCTCTTGTATGTCTTGACATGTGAAGAAATTGACAATAAAGCTGACTTTGATATAATGAATCCAAGAATTTAAAATATTACTTGCTGCTTGCATGTTTATATTAAATCTGAAGGCAAGGCTTTTTAAGTCTTCGTTGTTGCGGAGTTTCATTAAAACAAACAGCAACTGGGTACGGAGGGGCATCTCTGCTATTTGCCAATCATTGTGCTTGTAGTTTAGGGGTACATTTATTTGAGTGGTGTGTGGATCATTTGGAATGTCAAATATTGTGCACAGTTGATTGAATTCATTCATATGTAAACCCTGTACTGTATTCCAACATATTGTGGATTTCACTGCTTTGAAGAAGTTCAGGTGTTAGAGTTTTCTTTTTAAATGTGCCAATTTGTGCTTTAAGGCTTTTTAATTCAGTTTCTTGTAAAGACAATTGCAATTTAATGTTGCTGTTTTCTGCTTCCAATTCCTTCTCCTTTTCAGTGCTCTGACAGGACTGCTCCTCCTCAGGCTCCCTTTCCAGCTGGCATCCAGGAAGTGGGGGGTGCTCAGGACTCTCTGTAAAGAAAAATATGTTTGCACATTAATGATTATAATTTATTGTTCTCACCTTTTACAGCTGCCACTGGTTAGTCAAATTGGAGAGCCTTGTGTTGACCCTGAAGCAGCTACAGTTTAGACAACCAGATGACCTGCCCAACTTTCCCCTGCCATCCCAACCTACCGGCTTCTGCACAGTGCTGAATGAAAGTGCCATGCATCATTACACAGAACTGAGCATTTCTTTGCCTGATTCTATAGCTCTAGAACAGGAGACCAGAGAACAGAGCACAAACAACTTATGGTTTCAGGCAAGGTATGGCCGAATCACATCAACTTCTTTTAAAAAAATATGCTCTAGGAGAGCTGACCATGAAAAACCAGCTAAAAGTTTAAAGAGCGCAGGATCAGTTCAAACTAAGGCCATGAAAAGAGGCATAGAACAAGACCCTATTACAGCGATACATTACACCAAGCTCACAGGTCATCTAGTGTATCCATGTGGTTTTGTTGTAAATCCCAATGCCCCACACCTTGGTACGTCACCTGACCGTAAGGTGATAGAGAGAGGGAGTGAAAGCTCAAACTACAGGCTTTTAGAAATGAAGTGTCCTTCCAAGAATAGCTTCACAGAGTGTCCCTACCTTTGCAAGCAGGCTGATGGCAGCTATAAATTAAAAGAGTGTCATGCCCATCATTATCAAATAATGGGGCAGCTTGGTCTCTCATGTATGTCCTGGTGTGATTTCTTTGTTAAATGTGAAGAAGACTACCACCTAGAGAGAATACACTTTGATGTTGCAAAATGGGAACAAATGAAGTGCAAGCTTGATGCATTCTTCTTTAACTACTATATTATGTGCCAGTGATTCTTATTTTGTTTGGTTCGCAGTGTTGAGCAATTTACTGTAACATTGTAATATATTCTATATTACTCAACAGCATGTTGTTGACTCTCTATATATTTGGATTACATATTACTGTTCATTTTTTTTAACTGAGTTACACTACTGAGTTACTTTTGGCTGTGATAAACTGAATGATAAACTAAAAATGGAAAACAATACAATAAATACATTTACGCCAGTAGTAATGTGAAAAAACCACTTTCAACAGCATGTTGTTGACTCTCTCCTGCATCAGTAGTGGTGGAGGAACCGGAGGAGGCATCCTGCACACAGACTCTGCGTCTGCACACACGTTTTGTACATGAGCATCATCACCCTTTAACTTATTTACAGTAACATATAAATGTAACATGTTGATAAGCACTATTACCATTAGTGCTTATCAACATACATATTTAAAAATTGGCCTACTGTTTTTTGGGCGACTTTCGTCAGCCTCCAAGCTTCTCCTTAGTTGGGTTAGGCCCTTGCACAGCATTTACGGGATTGGGGAACTCAGGGGTAGGTTTTCCGTTCCTAAAATTCTACATGAAAGATAAAAACAAAATTATTTAAAGTTGCTTGTTGGGGCGCTATGTTCGACTTTGTTGTAAACTGACGAAAAATAAAGTTGGGGAGCTCAAAGACCCAACATAACAGCAGCTAATGTAGCTAGCATTAGCTAACATGTTAACTAATGTTGGCTAAAGTTAAAGGGCTCGTTAAACTTAGCTTATGCCGAGTTCAGACTGCACGATTTTCAAAATAATCGGGTCACTGTTGTTTTCACACTGCATGACTATCTGGGGTAACATTCAGTTGTTCACACTGCACGATGGATCGGCGACAGGAGGTTTCACACTGCATGACTTTACAAAAGAAAGAATCGCCGACAACTTCTGCCTGGTCCGCAAACACAACCAAACAAACGCGAGAAGTGATAGGAAATAACGGAAGATCACGCGTACGTGAGACCGGAGTTCTCGCGCGACACTGAATTTGTTATTAAAAATGATAGCCTACAAATTGTCTGTGCACTGATTTGTAGCGAAAACCCCCCCAAAAAAAACAGTTTATGCAGGAAATGGTTGGGAAGACGAGGGGAGCAAGGACTGTGTTTTGCAAAGAGAGTTGGGGGTAAATAAATAATTTTGCAAATGTCCTGCTGTTGCTGCTGGTCATGCAAATGTTTGTGCTTTGTTTCTGTTTGATATAATTGTAAATATAGGCCTATCTATTAAAATACTGACATTCTGGTCTATAACTCCTCCTCCTCCTCCCTGTATCTTGCTCTCTCATTGGCTGTCGGTCATCGCCGATGTAGTTTTCAGTCAGAACACATTCACACAGCAGGATTGTGAATCGCCGACAGGTCCAGATATTTAGCATGCCAAATATCTCACGGGCGTCGGCGACTCGTCGGCGATTCTCTCAGATCGCGTCTCATTCACACTGTGTGATTGTCACTCGCGTGAACGAGCACCGATTTGCCTGTGATTTCGGGCATTTGTCGGCGATTTCTCAAAACCTGTCGGTGAGCCAAAATCGGGGCTAAAATCGTGCAGTCTGAACTCGGCATTAGAGGGTAGGTTAACATTCTGGCAATGATATCCATGGTAATCATAACTTTGGTCCAATTTGTGTTCTTGCCTCTAGTTAGTAGATCTAGACAACATGGTAACTAGTTAGCTGTTAGACTTACCTTTGAGCAGACGTAATTATGCTTCAAAATGTTCGACTCATTTAACTGGGAGTGGGGCCGTCCACACTGTTTGCTCCATTGTAGGCACCGCTCAACGTTGTGTTTTCGGCTTTGGACACGACGCCGTGGGCGCACCACTTCACCGTCTTGCTTGGAGTTAGTGTTTGACGGACCTGCTCACATAGTAACGGTTGCTATGATGTGTGATGGGACAATGGCCGTTTTGGGGGAGGGGCCGGCGAGAGGTCAATTGTTGCCTGTAAATTACTGTTAATTTGACAATACATTTTTTATAGTGTAGGTTTGAGCGTGTCCATTTTTTAAACAAGAAATGAACAGACGTTGGTTGTAGTGTTAATTGTACCTTATTAAGTTTGTAGCTAACTGTGAGACATTAGCTACACCGTCTGAATTGTTTTGGAGCCTCATTTCGAGCCTCAGTTATTATCGGTTAACTTAAGCTTTTTATTAGTACCAGCAGCACTCTTTCTCTCCCCACAGCATTTTTCTGCTTTTTTTTTATATTAGTACTTTCTCTGTGATTCGGGACTGGAGCACAACTCTGGCAGTTGTAGTAGAGCCAGTATTGCACTTACTGAGGCAGGGAGGAGTGGAGCAATAAGACAAGAGTACAATCAAAGGCAAGAGAAAGGGAAGCAGAACAGGAAGTGGTGGCAGTGAAGGCATCATAACGGTAACCAGCAGAGCAGGGGAGGAGCAGAGTGACGGCACTTCGGGCATCATCAGGGACCAACAGAAGAGCAGAGTGATGGTATCTCCCAATAGGACAGTTATTCTCCCAATATTGCCCTCAGCAGGTATGGGGTTTGTCATTTGGGACCCATCTGTTAGACATAATTGTCAAAATAAAATCCAAATTAGCTATTTGCATTGTCCCAAACTGTCGCCACATGTATTATTTTATTGTTAATTTACCACAATGCTGGACATGTTGACTAGTGCTGGGTACTCGATTTCGATTCGATTTTCGATTTCAATTCCCGATTCATTTCTCGATTCGACTCAATGAATATAGATTTAATACAAATACTATATTTATAAAAAAAGAACAGTGAACATAAGTTTACAAGTGGTTAATTAAAACTGCAGTCCGTAGCTTTTTTGGGGTTAAAAATTATCCAAAATACATATTTGAGAAAATACATAACCAGCCAGTGTTCAAAACTATCTGCTTGCCTCAGCTCGTTTCAAAGCGGTAAGCTTGTAATAATGTTTTTAATTTCAGTGGTACTGGTGGATTTCCGCGGGAGATTCGAGCATGTCTTTGCGTCATTACGTCACATCTGTACGCATAAATGTCACAGGCCGGGGCGGCAACCAGACCTTAAACGCCGCCCCTCTCAAAGTGTACCACCCTGAGGAGCCTGACCAGAGAACACCACAGACAGGACAACGTTATAAGATACAAAGTTGTGTTGCTTTATTAGATTAAAATGGTTTCTCAGAACAAGGCATCAATTAATCGATCTCTTCTTTATCTTCCAAGGTCCCAAGGATATAGCGGCTGCGGAAAGGGCTCACGCTGGCGTCGACAATGGTCATGTACCCCACAGCGAATCCTCCAGACAGTCCGTGAACAGCATTCAGGTAAGAACTTCACAACGGATCCTCAGGACAGATTGCAATGGCGGAGAAGTAGGAGGCTCTCTTCAACATGAGCAGTGATAAGGAACTCCACAGCAAATCCTCAGGATCGACGGTGAACAGCACCCAGGTAGGGAACTTCCCAGCAAATCAGCAGGACAGACGGTGAGCAGCGCTCGGGGGAGGGACTCCTCAGCGGATCTTCAGGACAGACAGTGAACAGCACTCAGGTAGGGAACTTCCCAGTGAATCTGCAGAACAGACGGTGAGCAGCGCTCGGGGGAGGGACTCCTCAGCGGATCTTCAGGACAGACAGTGAACAGCACTCAGGTAGGGAACTTCCCAGTGAATCTGGAGAACAGACGGTGAGCAGCACTCAGGTTAGAACTTCACAACGAATCCTCAGGACAGATTACAATGGCGGAGGAGCAAGAGGCTCTATTTGACATGGGCAGTGGTAAGGGATTCCACAGCAAATCCTCAGGACAGACAGTAATCAACGTGCAGGTAAAGGCCCTCTCCAGAACAGGCAAAGCACAGCACACAGATATAAACTCCTTTTCGGGTCAAGTCATCTTAATTTATATAGCGCTTTTAACAATGGATTGTTTCAAAGCAGCTTTACAGAGATAAACATATAATTTAAGGTAACAGAGATTGTTTTGGTTTTATAGCGGTTCTTGAATAATGTTATTTCCAGCTAAAGTTCATTTTGATTGATTCACCTCCGTCGAAATGATCAGACTTTAAACGCGAACCTGTGATTAACGCTGACGGCGTTCACATGCACATTCAGAATTGATTCTATAGTTATGTGCTTTTGAAAATATGTGCGCAGGTTTGTAATTCCATACAACCCATGCCTAAACAAACTACTTGTCTTGCCTATAAATTTTGATACAGAATTTTGTTTTATTTTATCACTTCGGGGTACGCGAACCGAATTCACAACGCTTTATCTGTAGAGTGGGAAAGGGATCCTCCATAGGGAGAGGATAGTTGACACTTCAGCACTGCATTGTCATCGGGTACAGGCGAATCTCCTTCGTCAGATCTGGATACGGCCTGGATCCGGCAGGCTGCGGGAAAACCTCGGGATAAACAAAGACACTAATATTAGCGTAGATGCCATTCTTTTTATGATGTAACGAGTACATCAGGATTTAAGGGAAGTGTTCCCAGTTCCGGCTGACCTAATCTATGCAGCCTAACATTGAATTATAGAAGTCTATAATGTATTATGTGTATGCTAGGTCAAAGAGATGTGTTTTTAGTCTAGCTTTGAACTGACAGAGTGTGTCTGCTTCCCGGACAATGGTAGGAAGACTGTTCCAAAGTTTTGGTGCTAAATAGGAAAAGGATCTACCGCCAGCAGTCGATTTAGATATTCTAGGTTTTGTCAACTGGCCGGAATTTTGAGATCGCAATAGGCGTGAAGGACTATAATGCGTTAAGAGCTCGCTCAAGTACTGCGGAGCTAAACCATTTAGTGCTTTGTAAGTAATCAACAATATTTTAAAATTTATACGATGTTTAATAGGAAGACAATGCAGTGTTGACAGAACCGGGCTAATATGGTCATATTTCCTGGTTCTGGTAAGAACTCGAGCTGCTGCGTTTTGAACTAGCTGTAGTTTATTTATTAAGCGTGCAGTGCAACCACCCAGTAGAGCATTACAATAGTCTAGCCTTGAGGTCATGAACGCATGAACTAATTGTTCCGCATTTCCCAATGAGAGCATATGGCGTATTTTAGATATATTTTTAAGATGGAAAAATGCAGTTTTACAGATACTAGACACGTGGCTTTCAAAAGAAAGGTTGGTATCAAAGAGCACACCCAGGTTCCTAACTGACGACGAAGACTCAACAGAGCAGCCATCAAGTGTTAGACAGTATTCTAGGTTATTACGTGTGGAAGTTTTTTGTCCAATAATTAGAATCTCTGTCTTTTCAGAATTTAGTAGTAGGAAATTACTAGTCATCCAATTTTTTATATCAGCTATGCATTCCGTTAATTTTGTGAATTGGTAAGTTTCGTTAGGTTTTGAAGAAATATACAGCTGAGTATCATCGGCATAACAGTGAAAGCTAACTCCATGTTTCCTAATGATATCTCCTAATGGTAGCATGTACAGAGTGAACAGCAACGGTCCTAGTACTGAGCCTTGTGGTACGCCATACTGAACTTGTGATCGATAAGACATCTCTTCATTTACTGCTACAAACTGATAACGGTCAGTTAAGTATGATTTAACCATGCTAGTGCAATTCCACTAATGCCAACATAGTTTTCTAGTCTATTTAAAAGAATGTGGTCAATTGTGTCAAATGCAGCACTAAGATCGAGTAACACTAATAGAGAGATACAACCACGATCGGATGATAAGAGCAAATCATTTGTGACTCTAATGAGAGCAGTCTCAGTGCTATGGTACGGTCTAAATCCTGACTGAAAATCCTCGCAGATATCATTTCTTTCTAGAAAGGAACACAGTTGTGAGGATACTGCTTTTTCTAATATCTTTGACAGAAAAGGCAGATTCGAGATCGGCCTGTAATTGACTAATTCTGTAGGATCAAGTTGTGTTTTTTTAACAAGCGGTTTTATCATAGCCAGTTTAAAGGTTTTTGGTACGAATCCTAGAGACAAAGATGAATTAATGAAATTAAGAAGAGGATATATGACCTCTGTAAACATCTCTTTCAGTAGCTTAGTCGGTATAGGATCTAACATACAAGTTGTCGATTTAGATGAATTAACGAGTTTGCAGAATTCTTCCTCTCCTATAGCAACAAATGAAACAAATTTTTCCTCAGGAAGACTACAATGCACTCCCTGATGCGATACTGTGGTAGACGGTTGCATAGTTATAATTTTGTCCCTGATATTATCAATCTTATAAGTGAAGAAGTTCATAAAGTCATCACTGCTGTGTTGCTTGGACACTTCTGAGCTTGAAGCTTTCTTTTTCGTTAGTTTAGCCACTGTTTCAAATAAATACCTTGGATTATGTTTATTTTCTTCTAATAGGGTTGAAAAATAAGCAGATCTAGCAGCTTTTAAAGCCTCTCTGTAAGCAATCGAGCTCTCTTTCCATGAAATCTGAAATACCTCTAGTTTCGTTTTCTTCCAGTTGCGCTCCATTTTTCTGGCTGCTCTCTTAAGGGCTTGAGTGTGCTCGTTGTACCATGGCGTTGGACTATTTTCTTTAATCTTCTTTAAGCGCAATGGAGCAACTGCGTCTAAAGTGCTGGAAAAGAGAGAGTTAAAAGTTTCTGTTGCAATATCAAGTTCTTCTAAGCTATCCGGGATGCTGAGATGATGAAACTGATTAGGAAGATTATTGATAAAGCAATCTTTAGTGGCAGAAGTTATAGGTCTAACATATTTATAACACGGAGTCGGCTTTGCAGCCTTGGCTAAATGTAATTTACATGAGACTAGATAATGATCTGAGATGTCATCGCTCTGCTGCAGAATTTCAACGGCATCAACATCTATTCCATGTGATAATATTAATTCTAGAGTATGATTACGACAATGAGTAGGTCCTGACACGTGTTGTCTAACTCCAATTGAGTTTACAATGTCTTTAAATGCCAATCCCAATGCATCTTTTTCATTATCTACATGTATATTAAAATCACCAACAATTAGTACTTTATCTGCAGCCAATACTAATTCTGATAGAAAGTCCGCAAATTCTTTGATAAAATCTTTATGGTGCCCTGGTGGCCTGTATACAGTAGCCAGCATAATTCTCAAATGTGATTTATCGTTTACACAATATATTTTTACATTAAGCACCAATACTTCAAAAGAAGTATATTTAAAACTAGATTTCTTAGTGGTTTTGAAAATATTACTATAAATTACAGCAACACCTCCCCCTTTGCCTATCAGACGAGGTTCATGTTTATAACTGTAATCTTGTGGGGTTGACTCATTTAAAATAATGTAATCGTTTGGTTTTAGCCAGGTTTCTGTCAAACACAGCACATCTAGATTATAATCTGAAATCATATCATTAACTATGAGAGATTTTGAAGTAAGGGATCGAATATTCAGCAACCCAAGCTTTATCATTTGCTCATCTGTATTATATCTGTTTTTTATTTGTTGAACATCAATTACATTTTTAACCTGACCTTTTTTGGATTTCCAAATTCGGGGAACAGACACAGTCTCTATATGATGATATCTAGGTGAAAGAGGCTCTATGTGATGGGATTTATCTGACCTTGGTGACGTGAGGCCGCTAGCAGACGGTCGGTTTAGCCAGTCTGTCTGCTTCCTGACCTGAGCCCCAGATTGTCATGTTTTATCTCTAAGACTATGAGCCAAATTACTAGAGAGAAGAGCAGCACCAGCCCAGGAGGGATGGATACCATCTCTTTTCAACAGGTCAGGCTTGCCCCAAAAACTTTTCCAATTGTCTATGAATTCTATATTATTCTGCGGACACCACTTCGACAGCCAACCATTGAGTGAGGCCAATCTGCTAACTATCTCATCACTCCTGCGTACAGGAAGGGGGCCAGAGCAAATTACAGTGCCTGACATCGTACTTGCGAGTTCACACACCTCTTTAATATTAATTTTGGTGATCTCCGACTGGCGGAGTCGAACATCATTAGTGCCGACATGAATAATGATCTTAGAGAATTTACGATTAGCATTAGCCAGCACTTTTAAATTTGCTTTGATGTCAGGCGCTCTGGCTTCCGGCAAACATGTGACTATGGTGGCTGGTGTCTCTATTTTCACGTTCCGTGTGATCGAATCACCAATTACCAGGGCACAATCAACAGAATTCTCAGTCGGTGTTTCACTGAGTGGGGCAAATCGGTTTGTTATGGGAATCGGAACGGAAGAGTGGTTCTTTGATCCGCGACTAGAACGATCTCTCACTGTCACCCATCTGCCCTGCTGCACGGGCTCTACTTCAGCCGGAACCGTATCATGTAAAGAGTTCACTATGCTAGGCGCATCCAAAACAGTATCTAAAGATCTAGCATTCTTACCATCCTCAATTAAAGTTTGGATGCGTGTCTCTAGTTCTGAAATCTTCTCCGTCAGCCTGACTGTCTCCTTGCATTTATCACATATAAATCCTATATTGCCATCGGAGAAGGCTATACTAAACATATGACATGTGACACAGGTGACAATAACAGGACAAGAAGACATTACTCACTGTTTGTTGACTGGTTCTTACTTACCTGGACTTTATGAACTCAAAGGCGCGGGCGCGCGAGAGAAAATAAATAAATAAATGAGTGCACGGGTGGCGCATTAGCAGGCTAACGTTAGCGAGTTTCTAGCGTGCTGTATTAACAATAACGAAAGCTAGAGATGTAAGGTTAATCTGAGATGTTGGGTAAGCTGTATTTAGTAGTATAAACAACTAGAAATGATAGTAAAAGATAAATGATGGCTCAAAACATAAAGAAATACGAGGCTCAGGCGGAGCTTACAACCTCGGAGCAGACCTCGAAGCAAACAAACACACAGCAGGCAGCGAGGCAGACAGGAGCAATCGATCAGCGATCAGCAATTGTCCCTGGTCAGACAGTGATCAACATGCAGGTAAGAGGCCCTCTTCAGAACAGGCCAAGTGCAGCACTCGGGTGGAACACCCTTTTCAAATCACATCAGCGCATCGGAGAGATAGATGGCTCCTTTCTGCTTAATACCCACTCCACATATAACAGCGAATACAGCCCAGCGTTCCACGGGGTTAGCAAGTCCACTGGTCGAAGTCATGGTTAAAGACAGAACTGTTCTTCCCACACTCGTGTATTCAGAAAAAGACACTCAAGACTTCAAACGTGCTTAGATCACCATAAACACTGCAATTCTCCCACTCACAATAAATTAAGGCCTTTACTCCAACATTCGTCCAGATTCTTCCACTCCCGTGGGACTATGACGTAAGGGCAGCGTGGGAGATTAATATCAGCAGAAGCAACGAGCCTCGAAAAATCACAGCAACACTGGATTTAACTTTTAAGCTGAGACACACAGGTAACATCAGAGGGCTTTAGAGATCATCATAAGTGTGATTTGAGGTACTTAACTGCCCCAGGAATGATCGATGCACATTAATTCTTCAGTCCATAAATGTTCTCCTTCATAAAATCAGCCAAAACTGCAGTCATCTGTCCTGTTCCCCCTTCATCTCTGCCATTTCTTTCCCTTTCTCCCCCCCCTCCTCTCCTTAACACAAAAATGCCTTTTTATATCCATGTTGAGACACATGTTCCAATCGCTGATTGCCTCCCTCACCTCTCGCAGCTGACGCTCGTTTCTTCCTTAAATACCCCGCAATCGGCCATCACATGCAAAACCGGAACCGGCCCGGTGTACCACCGGAAATCACTCCGTGACATAAAGAAGGAGTATCAGCTAGTAGGCTATATTGCGTTTGAGGATGCTGGAGGTGGAGATTAATAGCCTTTTCTCACACCACTTGATATAATTAAACTTATCAATTTGATGGCGGATCCAGAAAGGTTCAAACGACAATCACCAGTGACAACTGGAGACTCACCCGTTGTAAAATGCAAAAGACTTCGTTCGGACTTCAGAGTGGCTAACTTACAGAAAAAAAGAGACTGCAACCGGACCCATGCGAAAACAAGGGTTACATATCGGAAGGACATTACATGTAGTCACGCAATGCTGACGTTGTTAACATTAACAATTTGAGAACAAAGTATAATTTGCATGGTTTTGCGTGATATGATAAGCGATTTTTAGATTTAATCAGCGCGATTTACTGCAATGTCAGAACCAGAACAAAAGTGGATGTTACCTACTTGTTCAGATGACATTTTCCGGTGAAAATTATTAAGTTGGTCATACTTCCAAAAAGAATAATCTGTGATTCTGAATGACAGTATCCACACCAGCGTGGTCACTGACAGCTGCACACTCTCCTCAAACATTGTGTTCATCCGCGCTGTGCTGTGTCGAAGTACAACTCACGTAAAGTTGATGATTCCGCGAATAACTGCAATTGCAGATTTCGAACAGAGATGGCGACAAAGAGGAAAAACTGCGGACTGCAGCATTAATAAAAAAATATATTATAATTATATTGACCTGTATATTAAACTCTTTTTGTACTCTTTTGTCTCACTTGTGTACATTAAAACAGAACCCATCTCTATATTTCAAATGCATACAATGAATAGACCGGATTTTGATGCAAGTTGAAAAATGTATGCTGAAAAAGTCAGAACAGTTGCATGCCTTGATCAAACAGGATCAGGTTATTTTATGTTTAAGATAAAACAATCACAAAATCTCACAGCATTAGCTGTAACATGGAGGCTGCAAGCCTAGGAACAGTGTAGGAAAACTAATACTGGCTTTTGGGTGATAGTTCACCCAAAAATAAAAAATTCTGTCATCATATATGAATGTATCCATCATGTATAAATGTATTTCTTCTGTTGAACACAAAAGAAGATATTTTGAAGAATATGGGTAACCAAACTGTTTTTGGTCTCCATTTACTTTTTTTCAATAGTGGGTACACTCCTTCATGCTTACACCACCACTTCTGAGAGAGGTATAGGTGTAACTTCTCTGTATTTGCCAACTTCTTCCCGTGCCCTGTCTGCAGCAGTAGCACAGACTACTGTAGCCACTGGTGCATAGGCATCTCTAAGCAGATCCAACAGCGTACAGGATTCGTTTGACCTCTTTGGTGGGTTGGGGAGGGGGCACCTTCACCAAGGGATTTTTGCTCCTGTACAGGTGCACTGCCTCCATTACCAGCACTATCAGATCCTTGCTGCTGATAGTTAGAAGCAAGGGAAATGTTAATTAAAATTACATTTGAATTTAATGTTGCCCATCTCCACCATACATACATTTTTATTATTTTGCTTTAATTTATTATATTTATATGCAGTTAATAAATTTTTGTTTTGTTTACATTTTCAGTTTTAAACCTTTATACAACTTACATCATGTACCTTAATTTGCTCCAGAGTGACAATCTCACTGATCAATGTTGTGAATGTCACCTTTATTTTATATATAGCGCTTTTTACAATACAGATTGTGAATGTGCCCTCGCGTTCCTCTTCAGAGATGAAAGGAAGAGTCTTGAAATGAAGGTCCAGGGCAGATACAACATACAGCTTCTCTTTTAGATTTGCATATCTTTCAAGATTAGACAATCACATTTAAATTACATTATGGCATCAACCTCCGCGCCCTCTGGGGGCTTAGAGATGGGATGTCAGTTCTTTGGAGAAGAGGTTCTCCCCCGGCCCTCCACCGGGGGAAGGAGTGGCCCTGCAACCACTTCCTGAAAGAACTGCAACCCACCTCTGAGCTGCCCATAACGGGAGTGCCGCATCGCCTGGTGTTCAGCAGGCTGCGGGACTGGTATGGGCAGGGGCGCCTTCCTGCAACCACCTCCACGGTCATGGCCCGGTGCTGCTGGGGCCGGGCGGAAGTCGCAGGAGGGCGCGTTTGGCGGCATGCGGACTGAGGTGTCTGAGCCGGCGGCTGGGTGGCAGCAGCTGGCCGCGGGGTCAGAACATGTTTGGTAGCCTCAGTCTGCTTCCGGGTGGCCGAGAACTGTTGGGCAGAGTCCTCGACCGCGCGTCCGAAGAGGCCAGCCTGAGATATGGGGGAGTTGAGGAAGCGGGTTCGCTCAGCCTCGCGCATATCAAACAGGTTAATCCAGAGATGTCTGACCACGCATGTGGACATCACCTGACCCAGGGAGCGTGCGGTCACCTTCGTTGCTCGTAGCTCTTGGATGAGCCCTGAATCAGCCCTACCCTCGTGCATGTCATTGAGCACCCTGCAGGATGGCAAAAACATGCAGTGAGGTGGCAGCCTGCCCCGCAGCTCTATAGGATTTTGCCATTGGAGTAGACAAAAAACCTACAGGCATTGGAGGGGTGCTTAGGGTCGCCACGCCAGGTGGAAGCGCTGTGGGGACACAGATGTGTTGCCACAGAACACTCCACGGGGGAACCCCAGTGTACCCTTGGCCGCGGCCTCTGCGAGGGCAGAGAAATCGGAAGAGGCCGCTGAGCAGTCGCGAAAAGTCAAAGGAGACTCCCACAATCTCATGACCTCTTCATGCACGTCCGAGTAGAAAGGATTTGGGTTCGCCTCCCCAAAAACCAATCATCAGCCTTAAGTGCTCGGGACATGGCGGATGGTTCCACACAAGCCCGATACTCGCGGCTGCCCGGGAAAGCATAGCTGTCAACTCTGGATCAGACTCGAGGGTGGCAGCACAGACGAGCCCTCATCCCCAGAGGACTCCAGCTCACCTTGTGATGCGGCGATAGACATGATTTCATCAGCCGGGGAACCGAATGAGATGCTGGGCCCGCCGGCGTCCTCTTAACACGGCTCTGGTCAGCGAACTCATTCAGAACCGCACAGGTTGCAATGTGAAAGAGGGGGTGTGGACCGAGAATATTTCGTCGGTTTAGTTCCAGACCAGCAGTCTTAGGTCACCCTGGCCACCAGCCAAAGTATTCTCTCGCGTGGAGAAAATAGATTGGGGTGTGGATGAGGGGACTCTCGCTCTATTGAGCTCATAGAGTCTCGACCGTTACATTGCGATGGTCATGTTCCAGCTGGGAGAACGCTGTCTGAGCGTGATCGAAGCCCAAACACGTCAAAACAGCGCCCGTGCCCATCAGTTGAATCTATCAGACTACTGCACTCAGAAATACACGGGCAGATCGTCTTTAGAAAGACATGCCGCGTGCACGCTCTTTTTGTGAGAGAAAAGCTCGCAGTAGTGCTGAAGTGCTGAGTTCTCCCCAGACATCACCAGAGTTGCACTCTTCATCGGCCGAAGAGCTTTCACGATGTCCTATATCCACCTCTGTCAGAGTGTATAGATCCTTTTCGCTCCGGCAGACTTCAGGAGAAAGAAGTGCAGTTGAGATTGCCGGTTGCTGCTCCAAAAATCTTTCGAGCATGTCCAGCGTGCTGTTCTACCTGGTCACCATGTCAATTTTAAGTTTGTGACAGGGCAAATTCAGTAGCTTCTGTTTTTCTTTGTAAACTTTGTTAGCGTTAGCGCTCCTGTGAAAGAATGGCACTATGCACCTAACTCGACCTAGCAACCGAGAGATGGCCGTAAGTTTCAGCGCAGCTTGCGATGCCAGATTTATTGTGTAAGCAAAGCAGCCAATATGGAGCAGCTCCATCATGTCGGTCACAATGATCGGGTCTTTCTTAGTAAGCCCCCACTCTTCCAACGCATCTAAAAGCAATGCACATATATTTGCCCCTGTGTGACTAGCCTGCATAGCTTTGGTCTGCAACACATTTGAAATGAGAAGCTAGTCATCTAAATAGTGGCAGGTAATTGTGACATAGGTGTCTTGATGTCTTGACATCCAACCATCGCACATGAGGGCCACTCTGTCCTCTGACTTTAGGGACAGAGAAATGTTCCACTTTACTTCATTAAACAGTCTTGGGATAATCTCTTCGCTTATCCGTTTGCGACTAGGAATAGAATAACGAGGCTCCAGCACATTCAACATGTAACTGAATCCGTCGTTTTCAACTACGCTGTATGGTCTTATATCTTTGCAAATAAAAATGCAATCGATTCAGTGATATTTTGTGCACGAGGTGAATTGTGAGGAATTTTGCTTGTGAATGCATTTGAAATCTTCAGTTGTGTGCTCAGCTGTGGGGTGTTGGAACCTGCAAGTCTGGGTGATGTCTCATCAAATGGTTCCGCAGATTTGTAGTATTACTACAGCATTTCACCTCAGCATAACAAATCACACATATACGTAGCTTTGTTCTTGTCCACACTATCATCATCGTCCTGCTTGCGAAATCTAAAATGCTTTCATACCTCTGACTTTTTATGTGAAGCTGGCATTAATGTCGACAACGCACCTGAAGCGCCATTTTAACCCTCTGGGGTCGGCGGTCGCGCCGGCGATACCAGCTCACTTTTTTCCTTATCAGTGCAAAAGAGACTCAAATTACTCTGTTGATTTTGATCTTACATATAAGTGTTATACATCACTCGATCCTGTTAAGTTTGTATTTTTTTTGTGGAACCTCTCAATAAAAACAAAGTGTTGTGCTTTTCGCCAAATAAAGAAAAATAAACATGATGCGCGTTCTGCGTTCTCTCTGTCAGTGAAGTCCATTCTGAAACGCGTCCGAAAAATGAACTGTAACTAAGTCAATACTTGGCACAGAGATACGAGATGTGTCTTTTTAAAGCTTGTATTCTCTTCTTTTAAATGAAGTAATTTATTTAAAAAAGAAATATTTCCAGTTTATGTAATCCGTTTGAAACCAAGGAGAGGCACAGTTTTTTCGTTCTCAGTTCATTATCTTTAATGAGCCGAGGCCGCCACGCCCCCAGCGCTTTTCACATGGTAAATAGGTGATCTAACGTTATGCATAGCACACTCCCAGCGATCAATGGCATAAAAACCCGAAGTTTTTTCATCAGATTCACAGATAGTTCATCGCGTTTTGAGGATGGCACGCTACCCCGACCCTTCAGATGATTCTGGACAGCGAGGAAGAATTCAATTTTCCTCAGAGGAAGATTATAACTCGGACGACGAACGGCTGCATTTTGAAGAACGAATTGATCCCGCCGAGGATACAAGTTCGGAGTAAGTTGTTTAGTGTTATATAATTCCTTTTCTGATCATATAGAGCTCAAATGAATTTTCAGACTATATTTTGCCTAGCTTTTGACATCTTACAGAAATTGCCTCACAATATCCCTAACATTCGTGTATACGCTCGTGTAAACTTTTTAAATGTGATATTACTCTCTAAACATATTTGTATATTAAATATATATAGTTTTGATTAGCTTATGACACTAATTATCATGCTAAAATACTGCCTTATGCGTTATGTAAA